AAAGAGAATGACTATTATTATTTGGCAGGTGAAAATCCCACTTTGCTTAGAAATGCAATTAATTTTCCTATCAAACTAAAAGTTAAGCTAAATACATGAGGTAAATTCACAGCAAACTTATAAAAATGGATAAAATGCTCAAAGACAAAGCCCAGTCATTACTGATAAAATAAATAAAGTATATTAGTACCTTTTGTGTTTGCCTATAAGTGAGTGTAAAATGGGTAAGAAATAGTCAACATCAAGAATAAACACCTGAGAAAATCCAAAATTCAGTTATGATACGACACATCAAAAAAAGTGTTTCCTTAAAGAACTTGTATATTATTTTGTTTGGTTTTGATTTTGACTTTTAATGTTGTTTTGCTGTTTTAGATAACACAAAATTGTTATTTGTCTATTAATGCTGTGATTTTCTTTTTAATATTGTTTTGTTATTTCAGATAACCAAAAAAGCTTTCTCTAAAATACTTATCTATGGGTGTTTCTTTTTCTTAGAAAATTATATTTCTAAGAAAAGTGGAAAATTTTTCACATGCAGAGTTATAAAAAGGGCAAGGAAATAACTATATATGAGAACTCTGTGAGTGTTAGAATAGTGAGATCAGTAGTAATTCTTCTCAATTCTCTGTTTTTAAATAAGTATGTACTAGGGTTGTTCATTTAAACTTGAAATTAGAAAACTTAACAATTATTTGCTTTTTTAGAAGAGAAAAACTAAAATTTAATGCTTTTTGACATTTAAGACTTCTTGGAAAGAAAATAATTGAGAATTTAGCCCCATTTGTATTTTCAGGAATTATACATATGTGGCACTAACTATAAGAAAATACCTATTATTTAAATACATTCATACAAGTAAGAGAAAAGTTTGAAAAAGTAGACTCTAAAATGTTTACTGGGGTTATCTCAAGGTGATAAAGTTGATCAAGATTTTCTTCTTTAGTTTTCTGGAGCTTCTTCCCCTGAATTCTGTACAATGAATAAATACTACTTTTATAATCACAAAATAATAAAGTTTCTTTAAAAGAAAAATCTAGTTGGCATCTTGAAGTTAAGAAATCAAATGTGCTCAAACTTTAGACATCTTAGGATGTATTTTTAAACTTAAATTCTCCCTACGTTTCATCTATACTGGGTTTCACTCTTTTTGAAAAAAGAAAAACATCACTCAGTTGGATAAATGAAGTAACTTTTCTAGATTAAAGAAAAAATAACTGCTAGGGTTTGGCAGTCCTGTCACCAGAACAGTACTCTTATCCTACATAAGGAATCCTGGAGGTTATCTTTCAGAACTGGGTGGCCATCCTGAAGATTAAATTAAAAAGCACTTCTAAAAATTGTAATGGTGTTCATCCAACTTCCTAGAAAAACTGTGTTTCATTACTGGAATCTGCACTTCATTCATTCATATTTCTGATTGTCAACATTTTATTTCCAATAAAAAGTAAATTCTTTGCTGTAGTTTTGTTTATTCCTAGAAAGGCACGCCTTGAGTACGATCCCCGCCACACTGTCATTACCTACAATGGGTCAAATTCTTACTTATCCTTAAAGTATACAATAATCTGTAGTAATGTTACTAAAATATGCTCAATTTTAGCCTTCAAACACAAACATGTTTCATCCGTGTTTCAGGAACCTCACTGAACTAAGACAATTTGGTTTTCCCATTTAATTTATCCTTCTTTTACCAAAATTATCAACAGATTGTCAGTTTTCTCAGCTCCTAACACTTTGAGGCGCTTAAAGGGAAATGCGCGTTAAGTGTTTTTAGCATCCATCATCCTTAGTATTTTGGAGTCTTATGACCCATGACAATTTTCCCTAACATAAAATATAAATGTTTATATTTACAAATACACGTAAATATATATAGTTGAATCTCAGCACCATACTTGAAAGGATTAGGCGGGCGGTTGCTGTGACTAAATGCATTCATTCACTCTACAAATTTTAGAAAAATGTAACGTTGCAGGGACAGCGAAATCTCCATGTAAATCTCGTAATCACCACTAAAAGCCTAGAGCTGGGAGCCTCTGAAGCTCGCCAACCACATTGTAGGCATCCACAGCTGTTTTTAATTGTTTTTGCTTTTTCTAAATAGTGCACTAGGTAGGGCAAACGATGCCGTTTGCAGCGTCTCTGACCCTCAGCCGGGGTTAACCCTGACCTGAACACCGTTTAGCTCCCAGCGTTTCTGGATTCCGGTTCCCGGCTCGGTAAAACCTAAGAAAAACGGTGGATTTCCGCCGCCGATATATGTGTTTAGGATCAGAAGGGAATTAGGTGTTTCATGGCCACATTTTAGTGTTTTCTCCCGGTCAGACATAAGAAAAGGAGAAAACATATTTGTGTAAAAGGAGGGCGCAGTTTAACACCCATTTTCTATAGCTCGCCTCGGGGCCGCAAAGTCCCGATGGCGAGTAACAGCCCCCCCGCCTCAGGAAATTGGGCAAGGACACCCACCTCTTTGCTGCGGGTCTCAGGGGTGGTCCCCCGCGGGGCGCGGAAAGGGGGTGGTGGTGATGGGAATGGAAATGGAAGGTGGAATTTCTGCGCGCGCTAGGCTGGGAGGGGCGCGCGGGGGCGCAAAAAAAAGGCCAGGGGTCAAGCCTCAGGAAGGACGCACAGGGCCTGGGAAATGGGGTGCGGGCGTCCTGGAGAAGGGGCGCAGTAGGGTCCTGGCAGCAAGAGGGGCTGGCGCCCAGAGGGCGCGCCCAAGTACCCAGAACCCGGGCGGGGGAGGGGAGGAGACGGCCTGTTGGCCTCAGGGCCTCCTTTCGCGCGCGGACCACTAACCTGTCAGCAAGAAGGTGCCAGTGGTCGCGGGGCTCATCCTGCCTGTCCCCCGACCCTGTCCTGTCCAAGCACAAAGGTCGCTCAGTTCTCACCACCGGGGCAATTGCATTCTTGGCCTGGCTAGGCCGTCTGTCCTCGATTCTTCCCTCCCCTCCCTTTCTTCTTTCCTTCCAGCTTGGCCAGTTCAGCATCAGCATCCTGCACCCCCCTCTCTGATCCCTTACTCCCTCTAGCGGCGGACCACTGTAGCGTGACCATCGCCCCCTCCTCGATTCTTCCCTCCCCTCCCTTTCTTCTTTCC